GAAGCAGAGAATTTCCCTAGAAAAAAGGAAAAGCTTTGTTTTTTTTAAATTCACTCAGGGGATGTGGCTGGGCCAGCACTTATCCTTGAGAAGATGGTACCAAGGATGCCTCCTTGAACCATGACAGTACATGTGCTGTCAGTAGGCCAACAATACCATTAGGTTGGGAGTTCCAGGATTTTGACTCCGTGAAGGAATAGCAACATTTTTCCAGTCAGGACTGTCTGTGGTTAGGAGGTGAACTTGCAGGCGGTGGCATTTGTATGTATCAGCTGCTCTTGTCCTTCTTGATGTCAAGGTTGGTTAACTCAGTTGGCTAGATGACAGGTTTGTGATGCAGAATGACGCCAGCAGCATGGATTCAATTCCAATACTGGCTGAGGTTATCATGAAAGTCGCACTTTCTCAACCTTGCCTCTCTCCTGAGGTGTGGTGACTCTCGGTTAAATCATCACCAGTCTAATGAGGGAACAAACCTATGGTCCTCTAGGATAAAGGAACTTTACCTTACTCTTCTGGGTTTGGAAGATGTTGTCAAAGGAGCCTTGGTGAATTTCTGCAGAGCATCTTGTAGATGGTACATACTTTTATCTATCTCCCAAATTCAGCCTATCTTCTCCAATTAAGTACTTTGTGAAGTTTCATTACCATTGTAATGTAGCAAAGGTGGCATCCAATTTGTGGACAATAATGTCTCATAAACAATGATGTGATAATGACCACACACACAATCTCTTTTCGTGAAGTTTGTTGCGAGATCCATTTTTGGGCAAGGCATCAGAGATTACTGCTTTGCTGTTTATCACATAGTGTCCTGGGATCTTTTACTTTACATAACCAAGAGACAGTTTGGTTCAACTCATCTGAAAGCTGGTGCTTCTGAAAAAGCAGCACTCCCTTAGTTCTCCACTGGATTGTCAGCTTTAGAACTCAAGTCCTAACAAGAGACTTGAACCCACAACTTTCTGACTTAGAGTCAAGGATGTTGACTAAGCCACAGCTGACAATAACTTGGAATATTTCCATTGTATTCAATTGCCAAAGAGCAGAGTCCCAAGACAGTGTAAAGCATATTGTGCCCCGATAAACTAGCAGTCTGAAAGTTTGATTTGATTGAAAGTGGTGACTAGTTACAGCTGCCAGTGTCAGAATTGTCTTTGTGTCTGGGTTTTTGAAGCTGTGAAAGGTGGTAAAATCCCTGGTATCAGGAGAAGGAAAACTGATGGATAAAAATGGGTTGGCTCAAGGAGCAAGGAACAATTGACAGATTAGGTCACCACACCTCAGGAAAGATATATTGGCCTTGGATGGAGTGCAGTGTAAATTCACCCGAATGTTCCTGGGGCTAAAGTTAAATTATGAGAATAGGTTATACAGGTTGAACTTCTATTCCCTTGAATGTAGAAATTTAAGGGGTAATCTAATTGAAGTGTTTAAGATGATTATAAAATTGATAACGTAGTTAAATAATTCCTGTGGTGTGAGAGTTTCCCTCCAAACCACCCAGTATTCAGACTTGGAAATATATTGCTGTTCCTTGAGTGTCGCAATGTGAAAATCCTACTCCCTACCTAACTGTGTTGTGGGTCTACCTACCACGAATGGACAGCAGCGGTTCAAGAAGACCTTCTCAATGGCAACTAGAAATAGGCAACAAATGCTGACCCAGCCAGTAACATCCACATCTCTTCAATGAATGAAAAACATGAATGGGAGGTGGAATATTTAACTGGCCAGTTGTGTGTTCAAGGACAATTGGAGAATTGGAGAGATCAAGAGTGGTTTACAAATCTGTGACAGAAAGACTAATGACACTGCTGTGATTTGCAAATGTAGATCATATCCTGGCCAGTTTAGTTTTTGCACAGAGTGGACCAAGATAAATGAGTTTCCCATCAAGATTTAATACTGACACCAGAGGACAGTTGATTATTGATGAGGTGAATAGTCATAATCATGTCAACTGTAAATAGAATGGGGCTATGACACAGACTTGCTTGACACCCGTCTGGATTTTGAAGGTTTCTGTTTCAGATCTCCCACTCAAGACAGTTCCAGTCACCTTGTCATGAAGGAATTGCAAGATTGGGATCGAGTTTCTTGACAATCCAAATTAATAGTGCACATCCACAAAGCCCCGCAGTTTATAGAGTTAAATAACTTGGGTCACATTGATGAATGTAATGAAAAATTCCTGGTGTCGGATGTTTCTTGAGAAGGTCTAATGTGGGGGGAATTATGCTGCCAGACAGAACATCAATTTGTTGAATCAGTGATGAACATCCATGCAGCACCAAGACATCACAAGGCCCACAGTCCAAGAGGAAAAAGATCAGTGTTTCAGCTCAATAACAGCCCAAAGACAAAAAATGCAGGAATTGCTCACAACAAATCTGTAAAATCTTAACACATCAAATTCAATTCCCAAAACAGTGGGATTAATATAAAGTCGATTGCACTAAACTGCTGAACACAGATCATTGGATTTGAGCATCGCCATCACCAAGACTGGCTCAGTGAACACAACCCTCAAATACATGACCTCCTAAATAAAAACAATCAGCTTTCGATTCTGGGCAGAACAACCCAAGGTCACAACTCAAGAAGGCAGCTGCTGGCCAAAGACACATTCAGAAGATAAATGGACATATGGTGGGAAGAGACAGTGTGAGAAATCCAGCAATATGCTGATCATCATCATGTGAAGAGTTTTTAGGGGCACCTCTAGACCAAGGTCAAATGGACAAATCTTTCACAGGATCATGATTAACTTCTTTGCATTGATTGTCTTATTGGCCAGAGTGAGAGTCACTTGTACCTGATATTCCACTAAAAGGATGCTGAGTTTATACAGGAGCTTCTATACACTTCTTTCAGTGATATTTGGTGATCAGGTCAAATGTTACACATTCTTGAAACAATGGGACTGATGGTAGGAGAGATTTGAGACAAACCCTGCTGAGAAAGAAAGTGCTTTGGAAAGACAGCTTCTCTGTGAGCACTGGAGGGAAAACAACGCAGACAGTGCAACAGAAGCAGGTGATCCGGTTCCATGTCCTTGTGGGGACGTTGATGTCTGGTGAGAGAACAGGAGGAAGTGAAACAATCTTGACAGATATCACTCTAGAAATTTGTCTTCCTTGTGGGTTCGCTCATGTTCCAGGTGGTCTGACAACAGTGTCAAGGCTTGATCACAGAATTCACTCCCCTGTAAGTGCATTGCAGGATCAGGAGACAGGCTGACAATGTGAAATCCTAATCACGTTCCTCAGACCTGAATGGTTTCTCCCCTGTGTGAGTGTGTTGGTGTTGGCAAAAGTGCAATTAAGAAAATAGTTTATCATACACTTTCCACCTTGGAATGCTTTTTCATGTGTGAATCCATTATTGTTTATGGAGATCTGCTTACCATGACAATGATTTGTCACGAATAGTTTCTCCTGTGTTGGTGGGCGCAGAAGTTTTCTCACTGTGAGAATGATTTGTTGCACATCTCTCGTGAATACTTTCTTGCCTGTACGATTGGACCAATGATTCAGCAGGACTAAAAATTGTGCAAACTCCTTGCTATGCATTTTACATTTGAACAGTGTAATTGTTCATCATTCCTGAGTATTGGAGACCCTCTGAAGGCTCAGTCACACATTCCACACTTAGAATTCTCTTCCATGCAGCTGCACCCATGTTGCTGGTTCTACCAAAGATGCACCTTGTGTGTTAGGAGATCTAATGAGTCAGTGGAACCCTCCTCACACACCTCACATTCAAAAACAGCCTCTCCTCTGTAGCAATTAGTTAGTAGTTCATAAGGCTCGATGAATGATTGAAGCTGTCACCACACTTGGAGCCACTCACACTTCTTCCAAGCCTCACCATGACCGATCACCCAAGTTGAACCTTCAGAAAGGTTGGTTCTGATGGAAGGCTCCACACCACTGACCAGTTTCAGATCTGATGATATCTCAAAGCTCCCCTGATTTGACTGATTTCCAGATGATAGTTTCACTGCCCAACCTTCTCTGTGTTGGGCAATGCTGTGAAGGGGCTGAATGTCTTCCCACAGTTATGCAATTGTTCCTTGGGTGATGTTCAGGGTCTGTCTGCAGTGTGTATCCTCTGTGTGTTCTCTTGTGTAGTAAGGGTGCAATCCTTCTGTAAAACAGGAAAAGGAAACATGATTTCTTCCAACTCCCTCTCCTCCTTTGCTGAAAGGGCTGACTCCTCAGTTAAAGACTCTTCCACAGTGAGTGCCAGTCTGTTATTCCTCTATGTGGAGGATCAGACATAAGTCCATAGAACACCTCAGGAGGAGGCAGGTTTGATGGCCCATTTGTCGGATCACTATTTTTGCCTGAAAACATGAACTTTTTGTCAACTGTGATGGCAGAGCTTTGCTCCAATTTGTTGATTGTGGGCAGTTTAGCTCAGTTTATTGCCTGTTACTGGAGATGTTTGTCCTTTGCATATCCCTGTGTCACAAGGAGAGAGATGGGGAGATAGAGAATGATTGGAAGCGGGTAAAGGAAGAGTGATAGAGGCAGAAAAAAGGAGAGATGGATCAGAAGAAATATGAGCAGCAGGAGGCTATTTGACATATCTAGCCTGCTCCCATCACTCAATAAAATTATGGTTCAACTGATTGTGGCCTTAACTTCATCTTCTGCCTGCCCCACATAATCATTGACTCCCTTGTAGTTCACATCTCTAACTCAACTTTTAATGTATTTGCTGACCAAGCCACTGCTGATTTCTGGGGAAGAGAATTTCAAAGATCAGGAACCTGCTGAGAGAAGAAATTCCTCCTCATCTCAGTCTTAAATGGGATTCTCCTGAATTTAAAACTTGACCTTTGTTCTAGATTCCCCCTCCTCCCAACCTGGTGGTTTCCCAAGCTTCAGGAAACTCATGTTGCTGCAGAAATATTTGGATTGGCTGTGAGAGACGTCAATCAGAGAGCCCACCCACTCTGCCCATTCTCTCTTCTTCCTCTTCCAGAGCTGGTTCATTTCCTATAGGGACTGAAAACCAAGTGAGGAGATGGTGAGTGAAGGAGCAG